TCTACGTTTGTTCGTGTGTTGCAAGTGTTTTACAGCAAGAAGGATACGCTAAAAACTCCAAGCAGGGACTTCTGAAGCCTTTGGAGGCACGGTGGGCCTTGCTGGTTAACTCTGTATACCGGCAACTTCAGAAGGCAACATGCCATAATGGACAGTCTCTTACATGCAAAATACTGAAAACACATTGGAAACTCTCAAAAGTCCTTAATCAGCTATGGTTGAAGACTCCTTTCCCATCACCGGCGTATGAGAACTTGTGCTTCTGCAACCACCTTCATAACTCGCACGAGAAAGTAACAAAGTCAAGCTGTCGTTAATGTGGCAGCTACACATAAACTGGGCTATGAACCGCTGACTGTGACCGTATAGCTTTAGCTACCATTAGCTGGCAAGCAAACCAGGCCTCTCAGTTTCACAGCACAGTCCACAATACCATCAGCGGGGCTAGCGTGTCTTTGCAGCCACCCCGTTCTTTGTGTTGTTTTTATTGCCCTGTCGCTGCCTCAATGTCCGCGCCACGAGTCATAAGCCTCGCTGCTCTGATCTAGCTCGGACTAGCAAAGTAAAAGCAAACGCATGAAGGCCTCTGCAGTATTACATAGGCGTAAGATGACAGCCCTGAGCCTATGGACTAAAGCAGTGCCGCGCTGCCGACGGGGAACATCTGCACGTAGTCAAAACACGCGGGACAGTGGCGGCTGTAGCTCACCTTACGGACGCGGCGTTTAAGTATGGCTTCCGCGGCGAAAATGCGATCTCCCGCCGCCGAGAGCTCCATGTTTCATACCCGAACTGAGCTACCTGTCTCGGTGTCCGTCTCTCCAGACGACAAGCTCCGCTGTCTGCACGGATCGACCAAACCGTGCGAAGGGCTGCACACACACGGAGACAGCACAGCAGCAGCAGCGGCGGTGCGACCTATCTGGTCGCCGGTGTTGTGCCAAACCCGAGGAGAAAAAAAGCCCGCGCGGCTCTGAGCTTTAAACATCAGCGTCAAAAGACACGAAAAGGTTATTAACGTTAATTAAATTATTACAGACCTAATTAGACTCCATACAAATGTTTTAACACCGAAGGTCATCGGAATTTTACATTGTATTTATATTTACATTTCATAATGTTAACTGGTTTAATAATATTTGCCTTATTCAAGTATTCAGTCACACATTTGAACCAGTGGACAATTTAATCAATGGCTCTTTTCAAGCGTCCCACTAAGCCACGAAAATTCCCTTCTATGCCACGAAATTGACAAATTTTATTTACATTACTTTGTTAAACATGTATTTATTTATTTAATTGTTTTAATCATAAACATAAAATAAAGGTTCGGCATTTGGTTTGAATGCAAAACATTAGTCCTCCAAGTTAAAAAATTCCCTCTGGTTTAAGGCAAGAAGCTATTTATGAAACAATTATTAGTAGTAGGGGGGGGGAAATCGATACAGCATAGTATGGCATTATTTTGCATGGCAAGATTGTTTTGATACAGGCTCAGAACATACTGATATTTTATTAAATCACTTAAAAAGTTGCTGAATGCTAGGAACAAGAGTGCTCATATCATCCAACATCATCCATCCAGCATTAGCTGAGCAAACTCACATTAAACGGGCTTAACCGAAAACTCATCCAACACTGGACACACTTAGCTTGATAAAGCTTCATCCCAATTCAGTGCAAACTAATGGCTCAGTCACATAAGTAAAAACAGCACAGCAACATTCTTGAATCTACACACAAAAAAAAAGACTGTATGATTGGTGATTGTATTGTATTATTTTGTATTTTCTATTCTGCACTGATTGCAACTTGTGGTGATTACCTGGTTGCCCATAGCTTGACAAGTTTACACTTTCACGGCCACTTTGGATCACAAGAGGATTGCACAGGTCACCTGATAGGTGGCGACCTCTCTGCAAACAGTGCAGTCTGACTTGGATTGACTGTAATCACTCTAAGAGGGATTGCTGAAGTCTTGCAAATGATTGTTGTCAAAGTTATAAATGCAAACAGATTGCCAACATATTGCCATCAGTCTGAATGAGTCTTTGTAAATGAGCACAATATAAGGAGACTCAACCCATCTGTTGAACTCCGCTTATATAGAACCGGAAGGTCAAAACTAAAGGATGTTGTGACCTTGTGAGACCCTCAAGGAATCTAAATCTGACAGTTTGGAAACATGCATGAGTGTCACACCAGAGACTCTTGCAGTACTCTTCCTGTTCCTCCTTGCGCAAAGGAGCAGACACCCGTGTTGTTGGTGGGTTGATCCAGCTCTCCTCATGCCTAATGGGATCTCATCTACACTATTAAGACTATGGAGACCCAGCAAACCTTCTTGTAGTGGCACGTATAGATAGGCCATCCTAAAACGGGAGCTGCGCTACCTGTGCAACCTGAATGTGCCGTTGTTCTACCAGCAGTAACAAGGACACTAACAAAAAACAAAAGTAGAGAAAGATCAGTCAGGGAAGATAAGGAGAGGGCAATGATCTATGCCTTGTTGTTGCCTCTCAATGGCTTGTTATTCCTGAGAGGATTGACTGATATCCCCGAAACTTAACTGAGTTGCTGTTATAATGTGATAATCACATGCTCTCTTAACTTTTTTTTTTTTTTGTGTGTGCAATGTATATGTGACTGGTTTGTGTTCAGGCTTTAAGTATTGTGTAATTGAAGGAGTGTTGTTAAGGGAGGGACAAAGCTGACTTTGTCACAATTCATTCAGCTTGTTATTGTACTGAAAGACTCAGGGCTTTCACTTTAACTCGTCTGATAAGTACACCCTGTTATAAGCACGGTTTAAGTGTAAGTATCGAAAACTCTAAACTCTTCTTCAAACATGATCATGTCTCTCATAGAAAAAAACAAAACAAAACAAAGATGGCAAAAGCCAAAATGTCACGAGGATTCAAAAACAAAGGCGATATATGCTGGAGGCTGGTGTGAATGTCAGGTTTTTCTGGAAGGAAAAACAAACAATAAGAACAGGTCACTGGTGTGATAAACATGCTGTTTTGAAGCTTACTCAAAGCCAAAGAGAGGTTCACATTTTATGACACAGTCATGGTACTCTTAAGCTTCTTGTGGGGTATGTTTTACAATAGCGTTTGAACCAAGGACTTGCTGACAACTAAAACTGCTTAATAATGATAATAATAATAACAGTTTTATACCACATGACTGTTATTTGGTAGCTTATGTTCAAGCTAAACTTTCCTTTACATCAGTCTGTCGTCTTGCTTTTAAGGGAGCCTTGTTGAGAAAAATGAACAAAATGGAAACAAAATTTTTTACTCAAAATATTTTTATTGAGCAATTGTGGATACAGTTAACGAAAAAGAAAAAAAAAACCCAAGGGAAACATAAAAACTGGTTACACTGAATACAAAACAGAACTTCTCACGTTGGAACAAAACGGAAAAACGGAGGAGCGATTGATTCCAAGAAAACCTATCTTTGCAAACCGCACAGAAGTTAGCTGAGCTTCACATTTACATTAACACAGTAAAACCTATAGAGTGGTAGGTCATCAGACCTCTGTGGGATGAGCAATTCTGTTAGTCAAAGGACAGCACCCAACGTTTTGCCCCAGTGATATACTTATCATCCTCACCCACTGTACCAAAGAGAGCAAGTAGGGGGTTGAGAGCCAGTTTCAGGTCAGTAGCCTTGTTCAGAGTGTAGAAAACCGCCTCCCAAAAATTTACCAAGTAAGGGCAGGTCCAAAGCAAAGCATGTGGGTTAGATTGGCATCATCAGACCCGCAGCTGTTACAGCGAGGGATAGAGCCAGGATAAATCTTAGCTGATTTGTATTTAGACAAGTGGGCCCTATGAACTACTTTGAATTGTAATAGGGAGTGGCGGGTGCAGAGTGACATAGAATTTACCAGAGTGAGGACTGAATCCCAAACGTCATCTGACATAGATATACCCAACTCCTTCCCCCATGTGGATTTGAGGCCTTCAAAGGGAGCTGAAGTTATCCTGCACAGTTTGCTATAGATGCGGGAGATTATACCTTTGCCTGATAGTTGCAAACTAAGGAGCTTGTCCAGTAAGTTAGTAGCTGGAGCTTCTGGAAAACTGGAGAGGTTGGATTGCAAAAAATGTTGAGCTGTAAATATCTAAAAAAGTGAGTTTTGGGAAGAGTGTATTTTGCTGACAGCTGATCAAATAATGCTAGTCTAGTTGTGTATAAAGATATCTTTAAAGTAAATAATACCTGCTCTAAACCAGACCCAAAACAAGTTGTCCAAAGCTTAAGGGAATAATAGGTGATTTAATAAGATAGGACTTTGAAGTGAGAAATTCTTGAGATTGAACTGTATCCTGAACTGAGCCCACACCCGGAGGAAGTGCTGAATGTGAAGTTGTCAATTGACAAAGGTAGAGAAGAACCCAGAAAGGAGGCAAGAGACATACCCTGAGTTGAGTCAAACTCCATTGCTAGCCAAGTGGTGTGGCCCACAACCTTCCCAGATTTTAACCAGTAGGCCATGGAGCAAATATTGGCAGCCCAATAGCAAACGCGGAAGCTAGGGAGTGCCAGGCTCCCTTCAGTCCTAGGTTTCTGTAAATGCATATTAGCTACTTGAGGTCTTTTACCCTCCAAACGTAGGAGGAAATTCTAGAATCAAGGGTTGTAAAGAAGGACTTAGGGATAAAGACTGGTAAAAATTGAAAAAGGGGAATAAAATAGGAAGAAAATGTATTTTAATCGAATTAATTCGACAGACCAGAGTTGTGTGGAAACACAATTTAAATTTAAACAATTAGCTTTTTTATTTCTAAAGCAAACAATTACTTCACGTGCCTGAAGTCAATTATATAATACTGTTGAAATCCTCACATGTCGTTGATTGGTCGGTCAAAAGTCGTGTCGTTGTTGGTGTGACTTTATTTTTGCCCCGCCTTTTCTGCCAAGCTCCTTCACGTTCTTAAGCTGTGATTGGTTAAACACACGTCGATCAAATTCTTTTGCAGGGTTGGTTGCAGGGCGGCGGTTGTTGATGTATGTGTCAGAAGTCAGGTAGTCGGCACAGAGAGCAGCTAGCAGGTAAGCAGACAGCAGCAGGCTGCGTATTTACTGCTTAATGCGATTAGCCGCACTTCACAAGTAGCCCACTAACTGTACTCTGTGTGCTCTAAATGAGTTTGCGATTAAAAAAACCCATGAACGATTAGGGTGTTTCGCTCAGTGTTCGCCGTCTGCGGCTTTTTAGCCTTGGTAGTTTGTCTGGCTGATTGTAGATAAGCTGAAACTCGTGAATGAGCAGCATGAATGGAGCCACTTCTTTATAATTCAAACGAGAACTAGCCTCTTTTATACTCAGTGTTCATATCGACAAAGCAGGTGTTGGAGTGTCAGAGGAAGTGGTGAGTGGGCTAACCTTCACTCAGTTCCTAATAATAACTGTAATATAGCGCTTATTTATACCCGCAAGCTACTTCACTTGTATTTCCACAAAATAGAAACAATAAGTATTATATGTATGTATCTCTTAGATATTGCACATGTCGCTCCTGTTCAGTGGTAACATGCGCTCCTGGGGTGGAATAAATCATTCATTAATGTTGACAGCAATACTACAGGCTGCTGTAGTTTGTTTCAGCCTCCCTTTTGTCTTCCCAGGTAACGATGCAGTTCCTAGGGCGGCTGCTGGACACAGTCTCCTCTGTGTCAACCCTCTTCACCAACCCTTACCGGGTCCGAGAAGTGCCGCTGTCTGACTATGGAGGAGGAGGGAAAGTGAAATTAAAAGAGGAGGGTCGCATAGTTCTGTACAAGTACAGTCAGTCATGGGACTGTCTCCTTCTCTGCCCAGAGACACCGAATGTGGCTTTGAGGTCTGTGTTGATCACGTAGATACACTGTTCTGTGTGTTCTGCAGACTCTGACATGGGTGTGAAAGTTCAGTGTCAGCTGCAAAAACATTTCTTTTGCACTTTTAGTTGCTTTTATTAGCATAGTTGCTCATTTCATCCTGTGTCATCTTACTGGTTTACTGGTTTAGCCTACATCACCATTACTCAAACAGGCAGCTAAGGCTATGCCTTTTATTTTATCAGCTATAAAGCTTTGTAGATATGTGTGTGATATGTGATATGTGATATGCTAGTAACTATGACATCATCCATTTTTTTTGCAAAACCCTGTTTTCAGCCTTCACTGTTAGCATTTTGGGAGGCATGTTGTTGGTTTTTGTGCACCAGAGTTGACCTTATCTAGACACAAGGAGGGAGTACTAAATTATAAAGTAGTACTAGCAATCTTGCTTGGGAAGTTGCATCTGTAAAGTACATGTATATTTGCTATTTAGTGCTAAGTAACATTTCAAGTAAAATGTTACAACTTCAGTCATAAAAATGAAAGTGGAGACTATCAGTCGGGATTATCTGGACAATCTGTTACCACTACAAAAAGCATATAGGTCCTGTCAGGTAATTCCATTACAAATGCCCCTAAAGTATCAAAGAACACAAACAAGCTGAGAGGTCCAGGTTTGTTATTCCTATGAGCAGAGGTGAGGAGATCTCCTGTGTTGTCACAATTGACAATCAGGGTAGCCTTACCCCTAACTTTAACCCTTAACAAGTCTTCACTTTAACTTGAACAGTTGTCGTGAAAAGGATTAGTCATAGAAACCAAAGCATTTGATGTACCCAGCTGTAAACATGTTTATTTCTTTCTGCTGTTAAAGTTGTCCATGAGCTTATAAGGGAGTTGACCTGCTTTTGGAGTTGGCCTCATATTGCCACTCCGGGAGCTGCAGAGTTTGGCAGATCTGCGCTGGCATAACTTTTCAGCTCGGGATGTTGCTGCTTGGCTACAGATCTGAAAGGCAGGTTTGAAGAAAGATAGAAAGAAGGTCTTAGCATTGGCCTCAGCTGATACCAGACATGTCAAATATTATTAGTTTACTAGCGCAAACCAGATCCTTGTTGGGAGTAACCAGGAGGGACAGGATTAGAGATGAGTGTATCAGAGAGACAGCTAAGGTTGAGTGGTTTGGAGAGAAACTAGAGGTGAGGTTTGAGATGGTTTGAGACACAAGCAAAGGATTGATTGTGGATATGTTGAAAGCAAACGTAAAATATTATTTATGTATAGTATGTAAAAAAACATTAAAAGGAACTTTTGGAAGCTAAAGCAGCAAAGAAATAAAAGGAATGAACGTCTTAAACACTAATGCTTGAAGCTTTTTGAATTGTTTTTCTTAGCAGAGGAGAAATATTATTATTTATTCTTCATCTATTAGTTCAGTGGTACCACATTAGCAGAATTTTTGGTAAGCTATCCACATTTCCTCTTCTTGTAATCATTGCATTGCCTGCAGGCTGTTTCAGGTGGTGTCAGAGGAAGATGCCATGAACTGGTTCCCACAGTACGCCCTCAAACTTCGACCTTTCTATGAAACGCTTCTTCTGAAGTGTGAGTCGACACAGCCAATCGTGGACTGCATCCGTGCTCACCCAGACTGGAGCTCTGCCCACATTGCTGTTGAAACAGGCCTGAGAGAGTGTCTCAAACATAACTATGTGCAGAGGTAAGATAAGCCAAATTGATATTCTTTTTTGGGTTTCTGTGATTATTTTGTATTTATTGGCCTTTTAGTGAGTGAAATATCAGACAGCAGTACGTCTCACAGTTGCATCTTCGTATTTATGGTATTGATGGATGGGTGGATGAATAATGCCGAATGAAGAGAGATGTAACTCATTAGTCAGGAAGTCTGTGCCAGCTAAATGAATCCAGTGCAACAGATGGTATTGATTATTTAATTGGTTTATAGAAATGTTGCCTCAAAGCACTTATGGTATTATCGAAGCTTATAGCTCATTAGATACAAGTAATTTATTTTTTCACTCATTTTCTTGTGCATTTTTTAAATTGCTCCCTTATTGGCAAAAGTTTCTGTCTTATTAATAGAAAATGTGACTTTTGAGTAATTTTGAGGTAAAATTGAAAGCTACTTGATTCAGTTAGTCTATTAGTGGATATTTAGTTCTAACAGTTTCACAAAAAAAGTCTCTGATTCAGCCTGAAAACCATCCTCTACAAGTAGCGTTGCTGGGAAGTTTAACTTAAAAGACACGATCTGGAGAGTAGGTGTGAATGTGAGTGCGAATGGTTGTCAGTGTGTCTGTGTTAGCCCTGTGACAGACTGGGATAGGCTCCAGCGCCCCTGCGACCCTGAAAAGGATAAGCGGCAGAGAGAATGGACGGACACGGTCTGGACACGAGAATAACATAATAAGGAAATCCGAAGTGAAACGAGTTGCTGAGGAAAAACAGGAAAAGGCAGTCCTTCCTTGACCAAAGCAATAATAACAGAAGTCTGCTTAAAAAACAAAACAACAACCCCCCCTCTCCCCAGCTCTCATGCTTTACTGATATGACTTGAAAACATATAGCTGAAGAATTTAGGAAATAAAAAGAATCTTAGGAAAGTTTGTTGACTAAAGCACACAGAAAGCCTCTGTGGTGCTTCATGGTGCAGAGCTCCCACAACATCAGCTCAAAATCTTTGCATCTCCAGTCAGATCAATGCTCGGGACGCATCAGGCCAGACGCCGCTGCATCTGGCATGTGGGCGAGCTGACGCCACATGTGTGAAGGAGCTTTTGGAAGAAAGCAAAGCTCGCACCGACATCAAAGACCAAAACGGAGAGACACCGATCCACTACGCTGCCAAGCAGGATTCTGCGGTAATCATCCAGGTGAGCCTCAGCTAAAGCAAGATGGTAGAGTCAGACCTCAGACCCTCTAAAGTGCACATTAAAATGATTTCTCCCTCTCTCCACTTTTCCTGCTGTTTTCGTTCTCACCTTTCTCTCATCATCCAGGTCCTTTGCTCGCGGTTATGCTCTGGTGTGGACGAACTCAACAAGAACGGAGAGACGCCGCTCCATGTGGCCTGCCGTACAGGCCGAGTGGAGGCTGTCAAGGCCCTGTTAGGAGGTGGGGCCAAGTGTGACATCATTGGCGGTACAGGTTACCCCATCCACAGCGCCATGAAATACAGCGAGAAGGGGTGAGTGGGAGGAACAATGAGTTATTTTTGTGTCTATAGATGAGCAGAATTGGCTGATTGTGCGTCTGTACGATACTAAAGAACACTGAAAATGGGAACAGCTTCTCTGGTTCTCCTTTTTTACCGGTTCTCTAGAAGTTGTCTGTCTGTCTGTAATGTGTGACTTCTCTACACTATAATAAAGAATGTAGTACATATTTAATATTGTTTTAATTTCGTGTTCATCTGTTAGTTGTGTGGAGGAGATCCTCAAAGCAGATCCAAACCAGCTCCAGGCAGAGGACTCTTTGTATGGAGGGACGCCTCTCCACTGGGCTAAAACTGCTGAGGTTAGAAACACTACGTCGTGTGCTGTGTAAAAATTCATAATGGTTTGTTTAGTTTTGGCATTACTCTTGCAAACATCCTGAGAAATTCACACTGAGTTTAATCCTGAGTAAATCTAGCCGCCTGCCAGTGATGGCTGTGCGTCCTCTGGTCTCTCAAATCAGCACATCTGCGAGGGATTAACACGGAGCTAGAGACTTGACTTCATGTTTCTTTCTGTCTTCATGTCTGGGTGATAGATGTGTCGCATGCTGTTAGAGTGTGGCTGTGAAGTGAACTACCTCAGTAAGACCGGAGAGAGCGCTCTGCACATTTTGACCAAGAAGGGTCGCTTTGAGGCGGCTATGGTGTTGCTCACCCACGGAGCGAATGCCAACCTGAGGGGCCAGGATGGAAACACAGCTCTGCACTTAGCCATGAAGGTGTGTATACGATCTGCAAAATGTTCATGAGGAGAAAAGAGAAAGGTTACTTTGCAAGACATTGTGAGATTACGGGAGTTGTAGAACGCAGCACCTTTGAAATCAGATTGCAACACTCATAAAGAAAACTGAGGTCATGCTCTGTGTTACAGCCAGCGTGTTCACACTGCAAAATCTCTTTCCAGTCTGTTTTGACGAGTTCTTATTCAACATCAAATGTTTGTTTGTGGGCACATGGTTAGCACTGCCGCCTCACAGCAAGACGATTCCTGGTTCAAATGTCCTGGCAGGCTGGTGCTTTGTATCTGGAGCTTACATATTCTCCCTGTGCTTTCCTCCCACAGACCAAAGATGTGCATTGTAGCTTAGTTGGTGATTGTAAATTGGCCATGTGAGGTTAATAGTGCATATAGCATAAAGCACTGCATAAATGTATGGTTAGAGAAATGCTGTCTGAATTGCCACAGTGTTTCCATTTTAAAAAATATGTATTATTTTAATGTGAGCTGCATAACTGAGGTTTTTCACAATGGGGGTACAAACCCAGCTAAGCTATTGCAACAAGTACTGATTGTTCAAATACAACTGCAAAAAACCTTCAATGCTGTGTGAAATGTAACTAACTACACAATGTAATGATTCGCAAATCTAATAATCATATTTTACTCAAAATAGAACAGTGAGACAAATTTTGTTTTAAATGTTTAAACTGTGAAAATGTGCCAGCTTAAGAAAAACATTTGCTTATTTTGAATTTAATGGCAGCAACACATCTTAAAAACTGTTGCGACATCACTGAGTAGCAGCCCCTCTTGTTTTGACAGCAGTACGTAAAACTCAGGAGACCAGTTGCTGGACGTCTAACTGTTGTCTGATTTAGGATTCTAGCTGCTCAACAGTCCTGCAGACTGCAGGCAGGCCAGCTCAGCGGACTCTTCTCCTACAAAGTCATGCTGTTGTAATAATTGCAGTATTTAGTATTGCCTTGTTGAAGGGAAGCGTATGTTGCTCTAAAACCTGCTAGCACCTTCCAGCATTCGTGGAACCTTTCCAGATGTAATAGTTTCAACAAAAACTTCTGGAAGTCTTCTTCTGCCCAATCAGTGATTTCCTCTATAAACACATTTTTTCCATATTAGGGAACTTCTGGCCATCTTCACCTCTGAGAAACTCAGAAATTCTGTTTTTATTTACTTCTTACCCAGCATCCCAATTTGTTTGGAATTGAGGTTGTATTTTTTTGTTTTATCCTTTGTTCCATATCCTTAAAAAAAACCTCTTCTCATTTGTTGTGACTGCTCAGATGGACCACATAGAGTTGATCAAAGCTCTAATAGTGTTTGGTGCAGATGTGGAGATTCACAATGATTTGGGCGAGACACCTGGACTCATCGCTGCACGCACCAGCAAAGGTAATGAGAGAGAGAGAGTGAGATGGGGGGTTAAAAGCGAAACATTTAAACATATAAAGAACATAGAAGTCTGAGCTTGGACTGGTGGTGTTAACAGTGAAATTAGGAGTTAATGTGCCTGACCTAACAACCCTGTTTGATCTCATGTAGTCTGATTTGAAAGCATGTGTCCACTGTGGATGATATTAGTCTGCATGTTGTGTTGGAGCTGTAATTAAGGGTTTTATAATCTGCCACTTTATCCCATTATGTATTAATATTATATGATATGATAACACTTCCTGTTACAGATATATTGCTTTATCACTATGAAGCAATGAAAAAATATTAGTTATTGCTTATGGTCAGCTAAACTTTGTGATCATGCTTTTTTTTTGCAGTATGCAGTATTGCAGCATCTTGGCTTCACTGCCTTTTAGTGAAATATCCGATTAGATTAGGTTAGATTTTGGTCCACAGAAGCAGAAAATGGAAAAGAGCATACAAATAAACTCACTAACTCTAAGGCTACGTTCACACTGCAGGTCTTAAAGCTCAATTCCGATTTTTTGATCAAATCCGATTTTTTTGTCTGCTTGTTCACACTACAAATACAATGCGACAGCAAATGCGCTCTAGTTTCTTTTGCGGCCCGCATGCGCAAAAGAAGACGTCACACACAACGCGCTCTGTTTAGACCAAACAGTATTGTTTGACTGATGGCCTTTAATATAAAGACTTGTTTCGGACTTTACGTTTTCCAATTTTGCTTTAAGTTATAAAGTTATTTTGTTATTTACATA